CCTTAAGGCCAAGGACTTCAACGCCGCGGACCTCTTCGCGTCAGAGTACCTGCGACAGGAGCTGACCCGCGAGATTGAGTACCGATTCGGCAATTTCGACGCCATTCTGGTTCCCACGTCTCCTACCTTCCCGACCATTGAGGATCTCGCCAGGGAGCCGATCAAGGAGAACGCCTATCTTGGCACATATACCAATTTTGTCAATTTCATGGACTGGACCGCCCTGGCAATCCCTGCTGGCTTCAGATCCGACGGACTCCCCTTTGGCATCACATTGATCTCATCCACGTGGGACGAGCCGAAACTGCTCTCGCTGGCACGGGAATGGCTTTGCACTGCCCCTCGACCTCTTGGAGCTACCAAGATTGAGAGACTCGAGGCACGGAAATCTGACGCCGTTGCCGCGGGCGGGCCAAGGACGACTCGTCTTGTGGTGGTAGGTGCTCACCTTACGGGCTTTCCCTTGAACAAAGACCTGACGTCTCGTGGAGGAACACTAGAGACGGCCACGACGACATCCCCAAGCTACAAGTTCTATTCCCTTGATACCGGCGGCACGGTAAAGAAGCCCGGTCTAAAGCGCGTTCAAGCCGGCGGCAGCGCCATTCAGGTCGAAGTCTGGAGTATGCCCACGACGGAGGTCGGCAGTTTTCTAAGTACTGTGCCTTCGCCTCTGGGCATTGGTTCTGTCGAGCTGGTCGATGGAAGCTGGGCTCCTGGGTTCATTTGTGAACCCTATGGGTTAGAAGGTGCCACAGACATCACAGAGTTTGGAGGCTGGCGTGCTTTCATCAAGTCCCTGTCCCCTGAGGATTCCCATCTTGACAGCAATCCCAACACTCGCGCCATCAAGACCGTTCTTATCGCCAACCGTGGAGAGATCGCCGTCCGAATCATCCGGACCTTGCATTCCATGGGCATCAAGACTGTTTCAATTCACTCCTCTACAGATGCTCGCTCACCTCACGTACGCAACGCTGATGTATCGCTTCCATTGGAGGGCACTTCCGTCTCGGAAACTTATCTCAACGGCTCTCAAATCATCTCTCTTGCGAAAGAGGCCGGCGTTGATGCTATTATTCCGGGCTACGGCTTTTTGGCAGAGAATGCCGACTTCGCCTCAGCCGTCGAGGCCGAGGGTATGGTCTGGGTCGGACCGACTGCTGAACAGATGCGGCAGCTCGGCCTGAAGCACCTCGCTCGCGAAGTTGCCATTGGGGCGGGCGTACCCGTCGTGCCGGGCAGCAAAAACTTGCTCAAAAGTGCCGACGAGGCGCTCACCGAGGCGGACCGCATCAAGTATCCCGTAATGCTCAAGAGTACTGCGGGCGGCGGTGGTATCGGACTCAAGCGCTGTGACGACGCTGCGTCACTGGTCGAGGCATTTGAAAGCGTCCAGAGATTGGCGCAGGCCAACTTTGGTGACGCTGGAGTCTTTGTGGAGCACTTTATCGAGCGTGCTAGGCACATTGAGGTACAAGTCATTGGCAACGGAGAGGGAAACGTCACGTCTGCCGGCGAACGAGACTGTTCCCTGCAGCGGCGGAACCAAAAGATGATTGAGGAGAGTCCTGCCACGTTTGTACCACTCGATGTGCGCAAAAAGATGCGCAAGGCCGCTGTCAATCTTGCTTCTGCTGTCAAATACCGCAACGTCGGCACCGTCGAGTTCATCTACGACGTAGATACCTCGGAATTCTACTTCCTCGAGGTCAACACTCGCCTGCAGGTTGAGCACCCCGTCACGGAGTCTGTGACTGGTCTTGACCTGGTTGAGTGTATGATCCGCGTGGCGTCTGGCGACAGCAAGAACATCTTTGACAAGCCAGAAGGGTTCGAGGTGACCAGCGCTGCGATCGAGGTGCGTGTTTATGCTGAGAGTCCGCTCCAGAACTTCCGCCCCTCACCAGGCCGTCTTCTGGATATCTCTTTTCCTGACGATGTACGCGTCGATACATGGGTTGAGCCAGGTATGGAGATGTCATCGTCCTACGACCCGCTCGTAGCCAAGATCATTGCCACGGGCGAGGACCGAACAGCAGCGATCGCCAAGCTCGCTGACGCTCTGGAGAGGACGGTCATTACTGGCGTTGAGACAAATCTGAACTACGTTCGCCACATTGTCGCGTCAGAAATGTTCAAGTTTGGTAACTTCACAACGACATCCCTGAACACCTTCACATTCGAATCTTCCGTTTTTGAGGTCGTTGACCCCGGCACCCTCACCGTTGTCCAAGATTTCCCAGGCCGCAAGGGGTTATGGCACGTGGGCGTTCCGCCGTCCGGGCCGTTTGACGACTATTCCTTCAGACTCGCAAACAGGTTGGTTGGGAATGACTCCCGCGCCGCCGGGCTCGAGTGTACCATTTACGGTCCCAGCCTTTTATTCCACTGCGACGCCGTTGTAGCCGTAACTGGCGCCACCGCCGAAGTCAAGATCGACAAGGAGTCTGTTTCACAGAACGCCGTCTTTTCTATCAAAAGTGGCCAGACATTATTCATTGGCGGCGCAACGTCCGGGTACCGCAGCTACCTTGCCATCCGCGGGGGTGTCGCCGTTCCCGAAATCTTCAACTCCCGCTCCACCTTCGCATTGGGCCAGGTTGGAGGCCACAACGGACGGAACCTGCGCTCCGGCGATCTGCTTCCCGTGGGTAACCTAACTGCCACGTTGCCGTCCACCGCTTCCGGCCCCGCGACCCCCATCCCATCCGACCCGGGCAACGCAAACTGGTCCATCGGCGTCGTCCCCGGACAGCACTCGGCACCCGAGCACTTCACAGAGCAAGGCTTCAACACCCTCTTCGCCGGTGAGTGGATCGTCCACTACAACAGCAACCGCGTCGGCATCCGCCTCGACGGCCCCAAACCGCAGTGGGCTCGCCAAACCGGCGGCGAAGCCGGCCTGCACCCGTCAAACATCCACGACAGCCCCTACTCGGTCGGCAGCGTCAGCTTCACCGGTGACGAGGCCGTCATCCTCACCTGCGACGGGCCCAGCCTCGGCGGCTTCGTCGTCTTCTGCGTCGTCGCCTCGGCCGAGATGTGGAAGCTCGGCCAGCTCCGCCCCGGCGACAAGGTCAAGCTCCAGCCCATTGGCGTAGACGACGCACTCTTTCTCGAGGCCGCTCTCGAACGCTCCATCGCCGAGCTCACGCCCTTAGTGGTGGACGTCACTCCGCTCGCCAACAGTCCGACCACGCCCGACTCAAACCCGTTACTCGGCGATATTGGCAGCGCCGGCCGCCGCATCGCGGTCCGCCAGGCCGGCGACAACGCGATGCTCCTAGAATTCGGCACGGAAGACGTCTTCTCCCTCCGCCAAAGCTTCCAAATCTTCTCCTTCATCGCCCGCCACAAGACGCACCCGATCCCACACGTCCTCGAGCTCTCCCCCGGCGTCCGCACCCTCCACGTCCAATACACCCCCAAACAAGCCCCCGCGACGATCCTCTCCGTCCTCCGCGCCCACGAGGCCTCCCTAGGCGACGTCGCCATCCCCCCTTCCATTCCCTCCCGCACATTCCACCTGCCCCTCGCCTTCGACGACAGCGTCTCCCGCGCCGCCGTCGCCCGCTACGCCGCCACCATCCGCGCCACGGCCCCCTGGCTGCCCAGCAACGTCGACTTCCTCCGCCACCTCAACGCCTTGCCCTCCCCCGCCGACGTCGAGCGCATCTTCCTCGACGCAACTTTCCTCATCCTCGGCCTCGGCGACGTGTTTCTCGGGTCCCCTTGCGCCGTGCCCCTCGACCCGCGCCATCGCCTCTTCGGGACGAAATATAACCCCTCCCGCTCCTTTACGCCACGCGGCGCCGTGGGGATCGGTGGGCAGTATATGTGCATCTACGGCATGGATTCGCCGGGCGGGTACCAGCTCGTCGGGCGGACGGTCCCGATCTGGGATGATGTTGCCGCTTCCGCTGTAGTATCGCGTTCGCGCGGCACTGGCAGCAGGACGGACACGGCGGGAGAGCAACAACAGCAGCAGCCGTGGATGTTCCGCCTCTTTGACCGGATATCCTACTACCCCATCCCCGAGCCCGACCTCGACGCCGCCATCACACAGGGCCGCATCTCCGACCTCGTTCGCATCGAAGAAGGCAGTCTCGACCTCGCAGAATACGAATCTTGGCTGGCGGCCAACGAAGCCGATATCGAAGCTACGCGTAACCTCCGCGCCGAGGCGATTCGCAACGTGCCGTTTATGGAGGAGCTGCTGCAGCCGTATAACCCGCCAGAGAGCGAGCGCGAGCGGCACGGTATTTTTGGGGAGGATGGTGACGGTAGCAGCGACGGTGGGGTTGTAGGGGAGAGGATCAAGGCGCAGATGCCGGGCCGGTGCTGGAAGTGCGAGGTGAAGGCGGGGGACGAGGTCGAGGTTGGGGACGCGCTCGTGTGGATTGAGTCGAATAAGATGGAGATCAAGATTGGGAGCCCCGTGAAGGGGAGGGTTGTCAAGATGTTGGTTGCGGAGGGGGATGTAGTTGGGCCGTTTGATGATTTGCTGGTTGTTGCGACTGAGTGAGAGAGAGAGAGGCACCGTGGAGTAGGGGTAGAGTGCGGTCTCGTATTTGAGTGATGTCTAGCTCCATATTGATAACTTGAATCTGGATTTACAAGCGCTGACTAGACGTTGGTTTATAGACTTAGATACTCGTAGTTTGGAGAGCGTTCGCCAGGGTTCACGCGCAATGATGTTACAAACATACACACGAACGTGGTTCTTGTTTCTTCTATCGAAGTGATTTACGGGTATCCAAGAGACAAAACTATGCAAACAACACGCGGACTATGTGAGTAAGTAACATAAGCACCCCAAAGCAAGTGTTCTCCCCACCTCGCCGCCCTCCCCCCCTTTTTTGATATACCAAATCCAGATTTCGCCAGCCATGACCATAATCATTGTACATGTTTCCACTTTCTACATAAACTCATGACCGTAAGAAGGGAAGAAGAGTTTTCCCGGACCAGGTCAGAAATCTCACCTCCAGCTCCTCTTAGATCTTAATCTCCGCAGAAGCCCTCACAGCCCCCAACCCGCCCACATCAGCCTCCAACATCCTCAACGCCTCCCTCGCAAACGGCGCCGCCTGGGCTCGGACGCGCAGGCTCCAGAGGTACTCCTCGACGCGGTCGGCGTAGTACATGGCCTCGGCGTCGTCGTCCGAAGTGGCCCACAGCAGCCCCGCAAAGGAGCCGATGGCGGCGAGCTGGGCGGAGGCGGCGAAGCCCCAAAAGGACTGGATGTGCTCCATTTGCAGATTCGAGATGATGTTGGAGGCGTTTGCGAGGCGAGCGCGGGCGCCGGTGCGGATGGCGTGGCGGAGGGAGTCGGGCGCGTTGGAGGAGACGTTGCGGACGAGGGAGCGGTGGAGGGCGAGGTCTATTGAGATGTAGGAGAGGTGGAGGGAGCCTTTGTAATGGGTTAGTGAATGCTTTTCATGGGGAGGAGGGGAGCGTGAACTTACCATTCGCAGAGAGCTTTTTGAGTCGTGTCTCTTGGAGCTGGAGGGCTTCAGGGAGTTTCGCGTACCACTCCCGTAGCATCATGACAATAGGTTTCGCGAGCTCGGCGACGCCCACGGTGCCGATCTGGTCGAGAGTGCCACCGCGGCGGGTCGCCTTGGCCGTGTAAAACGTGCCGAGCACGTCACTAAGGATGAGAGACAGCTCAATCTGCCGCAGGAACAGCTCACGCCCGACAACGACCTCGGCACTGCCCTCGGGATCGTGTTCCTCATCGGCGGCGTTCTCAGGAAAATCCTCGATACAGCACGGCCGGACGTCCCAGTCCTCGTCGAGGCGGATGTGCGAGGGCCGGCCGTGGACGAGGGCACCCCATTTGTCTTGCATAAACAGAGCCCAGGCGAGGCGGCGGCGCAGGCCCTTTTCCCAGTCCGGGATGGCCCAGTCGCTGCAGTCGACGTGGAGGCCGAGCCCCTGGCCGAGGGCGATGAGCTGGGCGGTGAAGGTCCAGGTGTTATTGCGGAAGCGCTGCTGGATGAGGAGGCCGGCTTGGAGGGTGGAGATCTTGGGGCGCTTCATGTCGTCGCTCATTGTGCGGAGGGCGAGGGCCTCGAGGGCGGCCTGGTCTGGCTGCCACGATGAGGTGGCGAGAGTGCGGTCGTACAAGGACCAGTCGAGGGCCAGGAGGTAGACGGCGGCGAGGAGGGGCGGTGAGAACTCATGGTAAGAGCGGGCGTATTTCTCTAGAAAGACCTTTTTGTGGAGGATGGGGAAGCTAGGGTGGACGATGCGGAAGTAGAGGTTGACGAGGGTCGAGCCGAGTGGGTGGACGACCTTTTCTATGGCGTCGAGGTCGGCTATTCGTTGGGGTTCTGACGAGGTCTCGCGGTCGCGGTGGATGAGGAAGACGGTTGAGTCGTCGAGGCGGCGGACGAACCTAATAGCCGGGTCTTGGGGACGATGGAGGTCTAGGAGGGAGGGTTCCCGGTAGTCTGTGTTGCCGACGTATTGGGAATGGGTCTTGAGATGGAGACCGAGGGTGCCGTCTAGGAGGGAGACGGGTTGGTTGAATGTTACGTGGTGTTCCGAACCGGCGAGAGACGGTGACAGGGCCTCAAGCAGTTCGGGAGACGGATGCCTGTAGGTTCCGTTAGACTGGGTGACTTGAGATAGCGGAGAGGGAGAAAGTGAGATTCTTTACTGGGCCAGGGAGAGAGAGTGTGTGTGTGTGTGTGAGAGAGAGAGAGAGAGAGACGGATAGGTGTATGAGGACGGACCCGTGACACTGGACAGCCGGAAAAGGTTGATGGCATGAGCCAATGAGAAGGGGGCAATGAGACTATTCAGGAAGGACGAGGTACCGTGATACAATGAGACATAGGAAAGGCAAGGTATCGTCGGGTGAGGTAGGCCGGAGAGTCTAGACCAGCGTCGAGGGCAGTTCAAGACGACGGGAAGATGAAGGTACGATAAGAGGAATGTCACATCACTTACGTTATCTCATCCTGGGGATCCAGCGGGACGGGAGCAGGTGGAGGACCAGAGGTTGCAGAGACGGAACCATTGGTCGAGGGGCGATGTTCCGGGGGATCGGTGGCCTTCCGGCGCTTGCGCGGGAGCGGCCCGCGGAGATATGTGCACGGCTGGCCGTGAAAGGAGCACATGACGCACTTATCACGGCCCTCCTCGCGGACGCAGCGCGTCTTGCGCTGACGACATATGTCACATGGTCGACTCTGGGCGGTGCCTGCGGCATTGGAGGCGCCCAGTGCTGCTTGTGCCGCTGTTTGGCCGACGGCGGCTGCTGCAGAGGGGTGTGACTCGAAGGAAGGGATGTTGGCTGACGGCGAGGAGGCCGGCATGGTCGTTGAACCCGGGCCGGCGGTGGCGGGGTCGCCGTAGGGCGCCGGTGTCGTGTCCATGTCCATGACGGGCGGGCGGGCGGAACCGGGCGACAGCCGAGCCGAGGAGCGCGGGGGCGTGCGTGCGCTGCGTGCGCGAGTGTAAGATAAAGATAAGGGGGTGGAAGGGTACGCAAATGGTTGTGATCAAATTGGGTTGTGTCAGGCGACAGATAGTGCCGAGTTGTGCGAGAAGTGAAACTCGAGATTGGGTAAGGTACGTAGTATGGAGTAGGAAGGTTGTTTGGTGGAAGGGAAAGTGGTCACGTAAAAGCAGTGACACACGGCATGAAAGACGGGGGGACTGGTAGCCGTAGACGATGATGCGTGAGGTGCTGCCAGAATGGGAATAAAAGGGAAGACTTCCCCGCCGCCGATGATGGAAGATGTTCGTGTGAGTGCCCCCCGTTTCCTCTCTCTCTCTCTCTCTCTCTCTCTCTCTCTCTCTCTCTCTCTCTCTCTCTCTCTCAGAGATACGTCAAACGTACTTAGACTGAGTGAGCGGCTATGGCACGGTAGCCATGAGGCTGATCAATCACGACTGAGCTGAGCTGCAAGCGAGTGTCATGGACCTGTCAGTCGGTAAAAGGTACCTGGACCCGGCCGAGTGGTTGTCTCTGTGCGTCTGGGACGAGTGAGATGTGGAAGCACGTAATGCAGTCTTCGTCCTCCAATGGACCCCACGGTTAGATGCTCGAATCCGGGGTCGACACTGATAGTCTGCTCAAAGGTCTCGAACACTCGGACAGTGAGACAAGCTCTCCAGAGTCCAATGGCTTATCGCCGGGGTCGTGTGTCGTCTGATTCGGCTGGGCTGGGCGGTTGCGTGCTGCTCGCTGCTGTTATCGCAAAGCCTGGTCGGAATATTTTTCATCGATAAGTCTCCCATGCGGTGGTGTGAAGGTACAAAGTTACGGATAAGATAAGATATCCGAATGCTGTGCGGGATAACTGCAAACTGGGGTGGGGAGGCAGAGAAAGACTAAGGTAGCCGGATACATCGGGAGGTATTTACGAGTACACCCATACATCTAGACAGGCAAAGGCTACATACCGATACAACACTGCTCAGTGCAATTCCCCGTAGCCCCATTGCCATGCCCCCTGCGGGCCTTGCCAGCGGCGTTGCCGGCTACGCGGACGCGGACTGGTCGGACTGCTGACAGCTCCCGGTCCCCTAAACTTCGAGAACACGGTGCCATACTGCCACTAGGGGTACGTACCCCCGTCTGAGGTCAGGTAAGCTCCAGCTCGCAACGTCGACGGAACGAGAGCCGACTCTAGACGCCTGCCTCATTTTCCCTCCAACCTGGAAGTTTGAACCACCGGCAGTAACGAAAGGGACACGATATCTACAACCTTATTCACAAGCTCACCACAGTCCACGAACGTCAGAACGACGACAACTAGCACCCGCTATACCCAACAACCGCCTCCAAACCACATTACGATTCGCGATTCCGTTCGCCTTCTCCTCGTCAAACCCCCTTTCTGTCTCCACGGAAGATGACATCGCAATAACTTACAATGGCTAAGGCCCCAAATCATGGAGCCCACCAAGTTGACTCCCACGTCCCGGGCGCCGTCGCCGCCCACTTCCACCACAGCCCGAGCGAAGAGGACAGAGGCCTCCTCGCTGACGACCCCCTCTCTCCGCACCACCATGAATCTCACGGCGCCGGCGTAACCACCACCGCCAACACCGGTGACGAGGGGTACTTTGCAACAGCAAAGCAGTACGCCACGTCCCTCCGATCTCCCGGCACCCCCCGGACCCCGAACCGCGTCCGCTTCAACCCCATCCCCTCCATCGTCGAGCCGCCGCCCCCCCGCGCCTCAATGACCAACAGCAACGGCGGCTCCTCCGCCCGCGCCAGCCGCGACAGCTTCGACGTCGACGATGACCTCTTCCACCACGCCCCCGGCGCCGACGACCACGACGACCACCACCGCCTGCCCCTCCTCACAGACATCGAGGCCCCTTCCGTCGCCCTCGCCAACAGTCCCTGGGGCGAGGATGCCGACGACGTACACGAATGGGCCGAGCAGGAGCGCGCAAGGCCCAAGTCTGGCCTCAAGATGGCCTTCATGAACATGGCCAACTCCATCATTGGCGCCGGCATCATCGGCCAACCCTACGCCTTCAAGCAGGCCGGCTTACTGGCCGGACTCGTCCTCCTTGTCGGCCTCACCGTCGTCGTGGACTGGACCATCTGCCTCATCGTCATCAACAGCAAGCTGTCGGGGAGCAACAGCTTCCAGGGGACGGTCGAACACTGCTTCGGCAAGACGGGGCTCATAGCCATCTCGGTCGCGCAGTGGGCATTTGCCTTTGGCGGCATGGTCGCCTTTGGCGTCATTGTCGGCGACTCAATACCCCACGTCTTCACAGCCATCTGGCCCGACATACGCGAAATGCCCGTGTTCCACCTCTTGGCGAACCGGCAGGTGGTCATTGTAGTCTTCATCTTGGGAATCAGCTACCCGTTGACCCTGTACCGTGATATTGCAAAGGTGAGTCGCCTGTTGCATCTGAACTGGGGGCCAGAAACAAGAACACTGACACGATACTCGTCCCCGTTGATAGCTGGCCAAGGCAAGCACATTAGCTCTCATAAGCATGGGTGTCATCGTAGCGACTGTCATTATCCAGGGAGCTCTCACTCCCAAGGCTGACCGGGGTTCCTTCACACCCGCCCTTCTGACCGTAAACACTGGCATATTTGAAGCTATTGGCGTGATATCCTTCGGTTCGTCCACCTTTGCATGTCTCTCACACAACCTCTGTTCTTCAGCTAACGGGGCAATGAAAATGATTATCAGCATTCGTATGCCACCACAACTCCCTCCTCATCTACGGCTCCCTCAAAACCCCCACAATAGACCGCTTCTCCCGCGTGACGCACTACTCGACCGGCATCTCCATGGTCGCCTGCCTCCTCGTCGCCCTCGCCGGCTTCGTCACCTTCGGCGACAAGACGCTCGGCAACGTCCTCAACAACTTCCCCTCGGACAACGTCATGGTCACCATCGCACGCCTCTGCTTCGGCCTCAACATGCTCACCACTTTACCCCTCGAGGCTTTCGTCTGCCGCGAGGTCATGTTCAACTACTTCTTCCCCGGCGAGCCCTTCAACATGCACCTCCACCTCATCTTCAGCTCCGCCCTCGTCGTCTCCGCCATGGTCATGAGCCTGCTTACCTGCGACGTCGGCGCCGTCTTCGAGCTGGTGGGCGCCACGTCCGCCTGCGCCATTGCGTATATCCTCCCCCCGCTCTGCTACATCAAGCTCACCACCCGCTCGTGGAAGACGTACGTCGCCGCCGCTATTATTGTGTTTGGCACCGTTGTCATGGTGATTAGTCTCATACAGGCGGTCGCCAAGATGATTAGCAGTATGTTGTAACCCCCCTTCCCCTTGACCAAAATCACACCGTTCCTCGGGATCATCTGGTCAACTAACTACAGCCTCAGGTGACGGCGGACCTGCAAAGTGCATGTAAACCACTGTATGATTAAAGAACAAAAAAGATGAAGAAGACCGGGTTGTTTGTATCGTCTAGAGTAAGAGTAGGAAACCAGCTGGCCGCCCCCATCGCGTTCCAGGCGCGCTGGGGAGAGACGGGAGAGAATGGGTTATAGACAAACCCCGGAACCGTTGTATAACACCGTGGTTTTTGGTAGACCAAGTAAGGTATTCAGGGTATTTAAACATTATGGTGTTCTCTTTCTTTCGTTTTTTGGTAGACGCGACAACTGGGATTGGCGTGGGAATTGCCAAAAGAAAAACAGTATTTTTCTTTAACAAGACGGATTTCACAACTTTTTCTCTGTCGAAACGTGATGACTTACGAGGTATACACAGTCACGTAGTGATGTATGCACTACGGAGCATCGACGAAATGGTATCGACGCTACTTTCTGGTTTAGCCATTTTCGGATGTTGAACTCCCCGCAAGCAGAGATGAAGATCTTCACACTTAAAATCGCTCTCTCCAAATAAGAAAGCATTTCGTAGTGTCGGCCGATAAGACATCTACATGGGGGCATAAAGGCATAGAGAGACTCAACACTTGAATAAGCAGCATGAAATAGAGACAAAACATAGCCGCAAAGAATCAGACGCTTTTATTTACCATTACAAGTTATATCTATATCTACAATGGCCGAATTGTAGGGGCCCGTCTGTGTCGGTCCCCAGGGGGTATCATGTGCACATAACCATCCAATTTCCCATCCATATCTGCAATCCCAAGATCGCCGCACTTGAACAAAACTTAAACTCCTCAAAAGAATCCCAACATAGCGAACAAGCATAAAGATGCTGCAGCGGCCACATTGATTTGAGTGATAGAGGCATATGATGCAGCCCCTGACTGGGCTGCGGGTGAGGTCTGCGCAGCGGCGCTCCCTGTGGCAGTCTCATGGCCTCCCAGACCAAGGGCGGGACCGCTCGTCGGAACAGCTGACACAACAGTCGTTTGGCCAGGGTTGTTAACCACTGCCGGTGTGGCCGAAGCAATTGCGGTGCTAGTTACTGGTGGAGGGTCGACTCTAGTCGCAAATCCTAAAGTGACAGCGGTTAGTATCGAGGGTGATGAGATGACCATGATAGTGGCGACTTACCTATGCGTTTTTGGTCCTTGTCGAATACAGCATAGACATTTTTGAGGAAGACGTCTCCTAAAAGCCAGGCTCCCGCTACAACCTCATGGCCGTAAATGTTGCTGGTGCATGTACCATCTGCTGCAGGGCTGGATCTCCAGTCCTTAGGGGAGATGACATAGCTAACGCCCGAGAATGTGTATGTTACATCCTTGTTACTGTCGCACGGCACCTTGTACGTCGTGCCATCGTCCGAGGTAGATCCAGGAATGTTCTTATGGAAGGCAGCGACGTCGCTCTGAGGTCCAAAGACGTAAGAGGTACCGGTGTCAACATAGGCGAGCTTGCCAGCTGCGCCAGACTTGAGGCCGTCGTACTGAATGCCATCAAGAGGGATTGCCCAGTCTCCGTTGTCGTTTCC